TAATTTGTTAAAGCCCTAACGATAGATTCTGGTCCAAACGAGGTCCCAACTATAGAGTGGGCTTAACGGGCCATTTCCGGCCCAAATAATAAAAAGGCCAAAATGAAAGGCGCCTAGCTGGACAAAGAGGCGCTCTCACCGTTTTATCAGCTAAGATTTCCTTAACAATGGCAAAATACTTGAAAATTTTCACGAGCCTTGATAATGTGACCGTTAACTCTTCCGATACTTTCATTGGCCGAAAAAAAAAAAAAAGAGGAACTCTTCCGATTCTTTCAAATACAAACAAAAGTAACCATGGCTTCGATTCTCAAGCCACCTCCGCCCTACTTTCACCGTAACTATATCCCTATCTCCTCCTCTTCCTCCCCGGTGATCTTATCTTCTTCTTTCCACCAAAGGACGTTATTCCGAGTTCGGTTTCGCGCGTAGAGGACCGGGGCCCGACGGCAGTAGAATCGGGAGCCGAGAATTTTACGGCGCTGACTTGTTAAGGAAGCCGAGTATATTGCCAGCGAAGGACAGTTGTGGAATTTCGGAATAAGAGATGGCTTCGGTAGAATGATTCTGCATTCTGGAAAGTAGGTATTTTAATTTCTCGACTTTATTTTATTTTTTCTATTTCGAATTTATTTAAAAAAGGAACTTTTTTTAATGGCAATGTTGTAAATTTATTGCAGATATGCAAGTGGAGATAGATTGAGTCCAGAGCATGAAAGGTCGATTCTTGAGAGGTTGCTTCCTTGCCATCCAGAATCTTAGAAGAAAATTGGGTGTGGCATTGATTGCACTACTGTATGTTTCTTTTGCTTTTCTGACTTTTGATCGCTGGAATTTATTATAAATAGAGAACAATTGTGATTGCTCAACAGCATGTTGAAATCATGCAGAACTTATTTTTATCCATAATTTTTGATACCTTTGGACTAGAGGTGATCATACGCTGGGCTACATGTAGTGAACCCAACTAGATCAACTCATGCTTGGGTCAGTTTCAGAGTTAGCATTGGGTCGATTCATTAGTTACTTGTGTTCAGAAATGTGCAATTACAATTGCTTTAATCTGCTTTATGTAGTGGGACAACCTATTCGAAATCGAATTGAATTTCATATGTTAAGTATTGATTAAATTCTTTGTCCCACAAAACATCGAACGTCAGGTAGTATAATTTAACATTTGCAGTCAATGCTGCAAATAATCAGAATTTTACCAAGGGGATCCAACTTGATATTGTTGGTCCAAAATTCTTCTTAGACTTGCTCAGTTGTTCTTGATCTCTCCATTAACATGGATAGCATTGCAACTTGCATAGATCATCTTGGTCCAAAAGCCAGATTATATTCACTTTTCAAACATGAAATTCTTCCGCCTATGCTACCTCTTCAAATTTTAGCTAATTTAATGGTTTTATTCTTTTAGGGAATTGGGGTGATGAAGGGGCCTCTCCATTCAATATTTTCAATTTGATAGAGAAGAAGTTAAACTACAAGATCAATGAACAGACATGCAAAAATGAGGCGGGAAATTAACTAAAAGAAGGAAACCCCTTGAGTAACAAATTTTTGATTTTGAGATTTACGCAAGTTAAATGGTACCATGACCTGTTTGGCCAACTTGTGTTTGATTAATAAATTATGAACGCTCCTTCTATTTGGTTCACAGGTTGGTTACCACCCTGGTTTTGTAGGCTCAAGATGTTTGTTTGTAGTTCGAAAAGATGGAGAACTGATTGACTTTTCTTACTGCGAATGCATCAAGGGCCTGATCAGAAAAAACTATCCTCTATATGCAGACAGCTTCATTCTCAGACATTTCCGACAGTGTACGGAGTTGATGAGGGTAATACTCTGAACTTGCCAACCACTTCATATTTTTACTTTTGGGGATCTTTTGAATTTTATTCCTATTGTTTGTAATATGTCATATTTATGAGCTCAAATAACATTGTAGAAATAAAAGCAATTGTTGAAAATTCTTAAAAATTAAATGCTGGATGTAGTCTCTAGAAAAACATATTCCTAAAAGATTATACTGATTTCCGCTGAATGGCTTTTCTGGTGGTTGTTCTAAGGCCAAATGTGCATATATCCTTAATTCATGGTACTTCTGTCAAGGAATAGGATTTCGTTATTTCTCTTTGTTGTTCTGCTACTGCTCTCTCTAACTCAGCAAACATAAACACACCTACATACACAAACATGCTGCTTTGTCTACCAAACTGCATCATTACTTGTCATGCTATGTCTTTTAATTGATTCTAGATTGTTATGGTTTAAGTCAAGTTGTTTGGTTGTGAGAAATTGTCAATTATCTATTTGCAAAGTACACTCATTAATTCTATTAATGGAAGACAGATGTCTGTATGGATGCACTTTTTACTGTTTCTTTTTTCCCCGAAGAATAGAAGACAGATGTCAGTTGCCTTGGCAGTTAAGAAACTAAAAGGGATGGTGAATTGCATATCTGTGCCATTTCCTTATTCACTATGATCATGTTTCTTTTTATCTGCCTCTGGCTGATTGTTTCTTTTTATATCCTTAATTCACTATGATCATATTTCTAAAAGATTATACTGAGTTATGCAGTATTTGCCCATCTGACCTGCAATAACAGTAGGGGTCACAAAGAAATGAAGAACCGAGGTTAGAGACTGATCTGTCTAGGAGATGTATCAAGTGTAAATGTAGTGGTGCTATCTAGATTACTACCCTTCTAAACCATGGTTTTTTCCCAGCATAAGGCCATAGCTGAGGCCCAAGGTCAGCTTGAATGCTAGTGTGAAAAGCAAGTCCCCGTGATAACCTCATGGGGGGACTTGGTTACCTAAGGATGGACCATCCTCCACAGATGGCATAGCCTAAAGAAACGAAAAAAAAAAAAAACAGTTGAGTTTGATCTCAGCTTGCCGTCTTCTAAGTTACTACTGACTAGTTTTTAAAACTTGAAAAGGCAATTAAAATCTAAATGAACTAGCCTATAGTATAGTTTGATTAGTTTCTTTTTCCTTCCATTTTATGTCAAGCTTTAACTAAATCGGAAAAAAAAAAGGTGTTGTGGTAGCCACCAATAATCAACCGCATAAATTCCAACTGATGACAGAAACCTTCACGGTGCTCTTTCATTTACACCTTTTTCTCTGCTAACCTTTTTCCTGTGACCTTGTCATGCTTGTCTGGTTGTTTTGATGACTAACGACATTTTGTCTTATTTTGATGGGCGATTGTGATTACTTTAAATTGTTAGTTATTGATTCAAACTAGGAGTAAGACCCCAAACTCCCAAAAGTTCCATCAACTAGTGTTCAGAAACAACAGTTACGAGAATTTATCAAATATTTTTTTTATGTTATGCACATAATCAGAAGATATTTTCTGGAACTGCATCTGGCATTTACATTTACGTTAGTTTGTCTTGACAATTGGGGACACGATGAGATGCTGATGAGATGCTGAAGTCGCCCACGTCCAGGCAGCAAGGAAACAAAAAAAAAGAAAAAGGCTGTCTAAAAGGGGTGGTTGTGCCACATGAGGCAGACGTCACGCTCCCTATGGTCCTGGAAACTTGAAGAAAGTTTAGAATCCTACAAATTGGATTGAAAGATGCCAATCTTTGGACATAAGTCTAGTTGGGAAACCACCGGCTTCACCACGTGTCAGGACCAATTGATCAATAATTATTGGCTCTCTGGTATAAATGTGGTGCGCACCAAAGCCCCGTTATTCGGTGGTTTGAGTGATGGGGGAGTTGGACACGTATGTCTTCAAATCCTAATAGCTTTTTCCATTACTCGGGAGTTCGAGCTCCAGATTGTCTGGTTTTGATTTGACTCAATTTAATTACACATTTAATATGAAGTCCGAACTTAATGTACAGAAAAGTTCGTATTAAGGGTATTTTTGTCAAAATGTATAGCCTAAAAGTATAGGTCTTGTAGCCACGGATGTAAATATCCAAAATCGTCAATGTTAATGTCGAGTTATCCGACAAGAATAATAATTTTAAAATTTAAATTTAAAAATCGATTAAAAATAAAGGTTTTGACATCTGTGTTTTGATATTTAAATCGAAAAAAAATGAATTTGTTAGTTTAAGGGATTATTTATATTTTTAAGAAAAGAATACAGAATCTAAAAAATTCAAAATTTAAATAATAAATTTAGGATTGATGTTATTTGTTTGAATTATTTAATAAAAAGGTGATAAATTAACATATTTATATTTCTTCAAATGATAAGTTGAAATAATTGAAATGACATAAATTACAAAGTTTCAAATTGACCTAATAAATCAGCTTGAATCGGAAAATTATCTCCAGCTTGTTAATAGATCCCTTTCTGAAAAAAAAAAAAAAAACCATAAAATATCCCAACTTTGGTCACGTGTATGAAAAATGGATAAACATCAAACAAACATCTCCTTTAGACCAAAATACCCCTACGCCTGCTCCATGGGCTCTGTAGCGTTAATGACTTGTCACTGTCCAACCAACAAGTGCGCTACAATCCAAAACCATAAAATTCACACCATCACCACCATTCTTTAAACGGTCTAGATCCTCCCATTTTTCGCTTTCCAATTGGTCAGATCTCTCATAACAACCCCTACCCTTCCTCATTGGTCCACGTCTCCCTAATCCAGCTGGCCCACAAAAATTATTTAAAAAGTCGCACAAGAAAAAAAAATATTTAATATCTTAAAAAGATAAAAAAAAGACAAGGTGACACATGGCGGTTCCACGAAGTCCTAACTCGCGAAGAAGAAGGAACCAAACAAACACTGTTCGAAGAAGCCCATAGAAACACGAAAAAATAAAAAATAAAAAAGGTAAAAATTAATTTTGTATTTCTCTCTCTAATCTTCAGCTGTTTCTTTCTGTTATCTCTCTAGCTCTTGCCCATACTTTTCTGTGCTGTCTTCTATTTCTTAAAATTATTTTATTTCTAATTATTCAACTAAATTGAACTACTTGTAATTTTTTTTTTTTTGGGTTTGGTTGTGTTTTGATCTTTGCTGTTTTCTTTCAATTATTTGTTGTTGTTTTTTTTTTTTTTTGGTTCTTATTTAAAAAGCTCATGTTTTTATTAGCTCAGATCTTCAACGTTCTGGCTGTTGAAAACGGAGATTTTTTAAATATGATCTTTATTTTTGGGTTTTAGTGAAAACGTGAACTTCCCAAATATAGAAAAAGTAAAGACCTTCCATTTCTATGGGATTTTGTTTGTTTTGCTTTCATTGAAGTATAGTCGTAAAGTACCATCCATTTTTTTTTTTGGGAACAATTTTTTTTGAACTGTTTGATCCCATTTTTAATGGGGACTAACATGAACTTCAAGAACTTTGGTAATAAACCGCCGGGGAATTATCCGTTAAGTAGACAGCCATCAATCTATTCTCTAACCTTTGATGAGTTTCAAAGCACTATGGGTGGAATAGGCAAAGATTTTGGGTCAATGAACATGGATGAGTTGTTGAAGAGCATTTGGAATGCTGAAGAAACTCAAACAATGGCTTCTTCCACTGGTGGCCTGGAGGGAATTGGAGGGTTACAAAGGCAAGGGTCTTTGACTTTGCCAAGGACGCTTAGCCAGAAAACTGTTGATGAAGTTTGGAAAGATATTTCAAAGGAGCATTCTATAGGGAAAGACGGGATTGGAACTGGAGCGACTAATAATATGCCACAAAGGCAGCAGACTTTAGGGGAGATGACTTTAGAGGAGTTTTTGGTGAGGGCTGGTGTGGTAAGAGAGGATACCCAATTGGCTGGGAAGGTTAATAATGTTAATGGGGGGTTCTTTGGGGAATTACAGCAACCTGGGAATAATACTGGGTTTGGAATTGGGTTTCAACAACCTGATAGAGGTTCAAATTTGATGGGGAATAGGATTTCTGAAGGTGGTAATCAAATTGTTATTCAGGCTTCCAATTTGCCTTTGAACGTTAATGGAGTTAGATCAAACCAGCACCAGTTAGCTCAGCAGCAAACTCAACAGCAACAGCAGCACCAGCAACCAATTTTTCCTAAGCAACCTGCTGTGGAATATGGAGCTCGTATACCTTTGCAAAGTGGTGGTCAGCTGGGGAGTCCTGGAATTAAGGGTGGAATTCCTGGGATTGGGGATCAGGGACTGATTAATGGTCTTATTCAGGGTGGTGCACTGCAAGGTGGAGGAATGGGAATGGTTGGTTTAGGAGGGCCTGTTGGTGTTGCGACTGGATCACCTGCTAACCAGCTTTCATCAGATGGGGTTGCGAAGAGTAGTGCAGATACTTCCTCAGTTTCGCCAGTTGCTTATGTGTTTAATGGAAGTTTGAGGGGTAGGAAATGCGCTGCGGAAAAGGTTGCTGAGAGGAGGCAGAGAAGAATGATAAAGAACAGAGAATCAGCTGCAAGATCACGAGCTCGCAAGCAGGTGAATATGTTTTTGATTTACTCATTCATCTGATATTTCTTTCATAGCTTTTTACTTCACCGTTGTATAAGGTAGTTAATTTGGAATATGCATTATTATCATCTGTGAGAATACTTTTATCATCTGGGACATGCTGCATCCCAAAACTTCATTAAAGATTATGCTGCAGTATGGTTATTTGATAGCGATCTGACATGAGAAGAGATGAAAGATTTTGATAAGTAGGGGTCATGAGAAGTTATAAAAGTCCTAGGTACAAGGTAATGGAGCATTTGGTTTTAACAACATGAGAAGTTTTGAAGCTCCATATAAGAAACAATAAAACCATTGATTAAGGTTGACATCCTTGACCTTGTTGATTTTGTTATACTATAGCGAATAGGAACAATTCTATCCTATAGTAACTAATAAAATCATGGTGTCTTAAATACGTGCTTCGAAGTTTCTTATGATTTTTGCTTTTTTGCTTCTCTACTAGGCTTATACAACGGAATTGGAAGCAGAAGTTGCAAAGCTAAAAGAGGAGAACCAAGTATTGCAGAAGAAACATGTATGTTCTGTCCCTTCTTTGTTTCAGTGCACTCAGTTCTCAGTATTACATTTCTCATTGACTATATTTTGGTTGCTGCAGGCAGAAATCATGGAAATGCAGAAAAAGCAGGTGCCGAGAAGTTTTCTTTGCCATTTCTATTTTTATTCGCTAACAACTTCTTTGATGCCTTCCTCAAATATCATGAAGCATCATCCGTATGCATGCACCCTATAGGAATTAGGAGTTGTGTCCTCATTTCTAAAAATCCCAGAGTTTTTCAGTTGAGTTCATTATATATCCATCCATCCATCCGAGTGTTACTGTCGTTTCACTTGATCATTATCTTATGGGTCTCATACAAAATCATACCATTTTATCATGGATTCCTTTAAGAACCCTCAATGTATGATTTGCCATTCGCATGAATGTTCGGATTTGTTGCTTAATTGAACAGTATATGAACGTTTAGTGTTCTTGGTTACATTTTTTCCCCTTTGCACCTTTGTCCATGATGTTTTCCCATGCCTAAGAGGACACATTCAGAACGCTTTTTTAATCTAGTTAGTTATCATGCATGAAAAGTTTAATGAGAAGGTTCCAAGTCCATTTTTGGAGCTCATTTTAACTTTGACATGGTTAATTTGGGTCTGACGAGGATAAGTAAGAAGAGCTCAGAATGAGTCTCAAATCTACATTCTCTTTACTCTGTAGTAGACTGAATTTCGAGGTCCTTGGTTCACTTTTTCAAGAATTCTTAGGTGCACAATCCTATCAGATTAGAATATTAAAAGAAATTTACACACACATCAGCTGTAAACTCCAGTTTTCCCCTATTAGCAATCATAATAGACTTAAATTATAAGTCTCAATTTGTTGTTCGAATTGGTTGACTGCCACAGGTCAAGGAGATGATGAATATGCAGCAAGGAGCCAAGAAGCAATGCTTGCGAAGAACACAGACGGGTCCATGGTGAAGTAAACGGGTTGTGCTTGTGATTCTTGGTTAAATTATGTATAGCAGGTGGTGCTTGTACATATTTAAGTCAAGGGCAGTTGTTCTTTATATTACTTTAGATTAAAAATCTTCCAATTTATGGACAGCATGGTTCAGTTAGTTACACCATGTATGTAAATTTCAGAGCATCTCAGAGTTCTCCCCAACCTCCACCAATAATTGAACTAATTCTGTGAATCTGCAGTCCATTGATTTTTTTTTTTCCTTCTTATTTCTTCTCATCTGCTTCATGCATGCAGTGAGAATGATACAATGGCAATGCATCGTTCATCTGCCTCTGCTTATGAATGCTTATGCCATCAGGCTTGCCGTCAAAGTAACCAATGAGATGCTCAATCTGTTTGCATGAGTCACTGATTGTTTATTGAGAACAAATTTACCAAAAAAAAAAGGGGTTAAAAGTGCACAGAGCTTGGATATTGTCCTATATGCCTGTTCATGATAATGAATTTTATGATTTTATACGTGTGCCCAAATTTGGGCAATCAATTAAACAGATTCCCAAATCAACAAAATATGGGCACATGACATGCCTTTCCATCTCAAGGGCGAGTGATTAAGAAAAAAAGAACAAATAGATGATAACCACAATGGCCCCAGGCCCCAGGTCCCGAGGCCCTCAACCATAGCAATGCAACTCGAGTAATCAAAGGCATAAAGAAACCCCTTGCTTTATTTTTAATTTAGAGAATCAGATCTAGATTGGAACAATTACCTTCAAGTTGCCATAGCAGCCTCATGTTCACTGGTAGATTCAATGTTTAGCTGCAGAAAAGGTCCATCCCTAATCCCTTCCTTGGTTAAAGAATCATCTTCAAGTTACTTCCTCCTCATTTAGCAAACTGGCTGCTCAGCAGACTAACATCATTACTTTCAGATCAGAAACTTTAATTCTAAAAAGGATAGCCAACAGTGCATTCCATGTCCTTCCAGGATATCATTTTCCTACAATCCCTCGCTCTGAATGATCTGGCTAGAAGCCTACAGCTAACAGGTTTACGCAAGCCAAAATCAATCACAGAACTACTCTTCCTCTTTTCAGAAGATGGAGTTGCCTCATCCATGTAATAGTCTAGGTGTCCTAACAACATAGCAAGACAATAAACTTGATGTGATAATTTACAGTTTTCTTCATCTGGGGGTACCATCTTTAAATATGAAGATTTGCCTACAAATGAAACAAGAGAATGAGAATTCATTATACGTGATTAGGAAAGATAGTAATAATAAGCACTCTGGAGACACACTTTCAAGTAGTTAAAAGAGAGCAGTAAGAAATTGGTGGAACTCAACTTAGTAAGAAAATCACTGTTACCACTAGGAGAAAAGGGCTAAAGCCACTCCACATTTAACAAGTGAAACCATTATTATTTACCAGCCTCATGATTCATCATAAGAAGCATGAGCTCATAATTAACTATGCCTCGTTGTAATATCATTCAATGTCTCCATGCCTAGAGAAAATACTCCACCAAATCACCATGCATTAATGTGAGATAGCTACTTCAGAAGCACTGGTTGCTTACCTCAGCTTCCATAGTACGAACTTCATTGTGCCACTCATAATAGTCATTCTCAGAAAAATTTTCTCCAGTATAAGAGTAAAGATTCAGTGTAAACAGAGGAGGCCTACGAGGGTACTCCATACTGATCTTAACCTGCAACAGTTCAATTTGGTGTCAGGTTTCCATCATTGATGAACATAATGGAACAAAACAAAAAATGAAAAGTAATCATAGACACCTTGGCTTCTAGTTTCATATTCCTCCCACTTGTGTCCATTTTCCTTGTAAAAAGAAGAATAAACTCCTTGATATCCTAGTCCACCCATGATTTTTCAGCTATTTCATGGCACTGACTAGAAGCAGAGTTTTCAGTCTCGGTCTCTGTGGGCTCATCAAGATCACTCAGTCTCCAGTATGAAATCAGAATCATCATCATGTTTTTTGAAACTTGGGGACTTTCCTTTACTAACTGGGACAAAATGCTCTTTGAAATCAAAGCCAACTGCTTGGAATGGTTAAGACTAGATCCCTTTAATGGAGTAAGTTTAGCATCATTTGTGAAAGATGGAAGCTCCCCATCTTCTCTTAAACCCTCCAGCTCTTCCTTCAACATATCAGATCTTCCATCCATATCAACGTCCATAGGTTCTTGAACTGGTTCTACGTCAGTAACAGGTTGAGACAAAGCCTCATTCACTTGGGATCCTGCAGATGACCAACTATGTAAACTGCATAAACGAGTATGCAAGGCCGACGGAATACTTTTACAATCAGAGGAGGCCATTTAAGCTTCATAAGTGTGTCAAGCTGTTCCCTGTAATTCAATGAAAAATTCCAAGTTTTCAACAAAAAAAAAAAAAAAAACCATATTGAAGTCAAAACAAGCTGAGAGTATTCGGACATAGAATTAAAAAATATTCCAACACATAAGCTGCATCAAACAAACAAGTTACACTAAGGCAGAGAGATAAAAATTGTCCTAAAACCAAAAATTAGGGAATTTATATCATAAAGATGCCAACAAGGACCCTTTTATAATGACATATTCAGATTTGACCACATTGTGGTATTCACTACAATTTTCTTTCCAACTGTTTTCTTTCATATCTAAACTCCAAACATACAGGCCCTGACTCACACAAGAGCTAGCTCAGTTTTTTTCCGTGAGCGGATTCTTTGCACAACTGTCTGCACTCGGTTCTGCTGGCGATACAATGCCAGACCAGAAATAACAGAATCACTTTTCGTTTCATCGTTTGAAGTTTCATAGCTATTAAGCAATGGTGAAACCTCAGGTAAGACATCAATTCCTGCCAAATGCTGGGCCCACTTGTATGGGCGTGAAGTTTTCTTTTCATCAAATGTAGCAGCATCACCAATGAACAGCTTGGCTGACTGCAATATCCGTCAAAATGGTCATTATTACCTGAAAAGGATAAATTCTACAAAGAGTGAGAGGGTGAAAGCAAGGAACCTAATAGCTATCAGACACAAACCTGGTGAGGCAGATCTAGGCCAGCGTCATCAGGAAATAAATTGCAAAGGATATTAAACTCAGGTCCTTCAGTTGACCCTTCAATCCCAACACAAACAACATTCAACTTTAACAAGTACTCAAACTTCAAAGTGATAAGTTTTGTGGATTCAGGCTCAGGTGCCTCATCATCATACATGTGAACGATAATTTTCAGAAGATGAACCTCATAGACTCCTGCCTGGTCAATAGCCTCCTTGCTTGGAACCCTCTTTGGCCGCTTTCTCCTTCTCTGGCCATCATCTTCCTCATCTGGTATATCATCCTCCAATCTTGAGCTCTATACACTAGTAGATAAAACTGGTAGTTAGCAATATCGGTACATGATTCAAATTTTTTGTGACAGAGAAAATTTCAAGTCATCTGCTATCAGAAGCCCGAATATGTTGCAGGTCAAGTTAACATAGATTGAAGTATAATACGAATCAAATGCATCTTAAAGAAAATACTTTGTAGAAATAAACAGCTTTATACTTTCAAGTTTCACCCTTCTAGGAGTTTAACCTAATACAACTTGGTTATTTTTGTTAGCAACCATATCTTCAACTTAAACGTTGGACAACATCTTTCACTAAACTATTAATGCCAAGCTTTTTGTAGGGTGATATCATGTGCTTTTGTACTAGCCTACTTGTCCATTGCTCGGAGTACACTACAGATTATGACCTTAAAGTAAAATCTGAAGAGCTATCAACTATGGCACTATGCACAAGCCAGGAAGTAAGACTAACATCATTCACCATTGTCCTTATTTGCTTGCTGGCGTGCAAAAGCTTGAGCATCCTTCATACTTCCCATGATCTCCAGATCGATATCTTCACCAAATGCTTCCTTCTGGGCCATGAACTGTGGGTAAATCACATAGAGTGGAGGCGGAAGAAGTTCAGCCGAATGATGTTGCTTCATTTTCTTTGTATGCAAAACATCCAATTGATTCTGTACTGGTAATGATGCTTTCGTGAGGGACCTGAGGTGCGAAGGCACGCTCAACAGAAACTTCTTCCTATTCGCTATTGTCTCCAAAAGACTTCTCTTTCGTTGTTCCAACTTTTCTACAGGATTGCATAGCTCTTTCCGCTGAGACAAATAATATCCAAAGGTAAGCTTAGCAAAGCATTTTTTTTTTTTCACTAATTCTTTCAAATACTGCGACAAAGGTTCTTACTTCAATGCCAAATACTGATACATTGTCCTAAACACAAATAAGGCCTCGAAAAGACTCAAATTTTCCATAAAATTAAAACTTTAGATAAAGAAATAGTATATTCATTTATCAAACTTTGATTTAATTAGAAATATACCTGGAAAAGTTCATAGTTGACCCTTTTGAGCATCAAATTATGCGAACTATCGTCAGACAAATTTGAACTCTTAATATCTTCAGGTGCAACACGAAAAAACTCTTCCTCCGGTACAAGCTCGATATCAGCATACTTAGATTTGAAATCCTTGCAAGTTTTTATAGCTTTCAAATAATGACACTTCTCATACATTAAATTGTGAAGCTGCAGAGTCGTGAAATCCACCGACGCCTTCGCGCTTTCTGTCTCATAGGAATGCAAGAGAGAGAGAGAGAGAGAGAGAGAGAGAGAGAGAGAGGAAGGTGACCTGGCGGAGAGTGACGAAATGGAGGAACATTTGGGTGACGTGTTCTCTGAGTTCGGATTTTGGTTTGTTTTCCTTTTTGATGGAGAGGATTTTGGCGACGATCTCTTCGACCGAGGCTTTGCTTTCTTTAAGCATATCGTAAGGAGATTTCTCAGGCTTGCGAGGGGGAGCTGGTAATTGGGAACTCTCTTCCACCACCGTTCCCTCCTCTATCTCTCCGTCCTCCATCTTCTTCCTCCCTCTAACGGTCGCGCTCTGCTTTGGTTTCACCTACTGCTTCAACGCCGACCAGACATCCGTAAACACTTTGATATGATTAAAACGGCGACACCGTATGTTCTTGACATCTTGTCCTCAGAACGCCGTCGTATGGCTCGTTAGTCTTTTCTTTTGGGTAAAACAAAATACCTCCCAATTTTATATTTTTATATTTTTAATGTTCTAAGCTAACGGCGTCGTATCGTATCCTTTTAAGGTTGTCTTGGCCTCTTCTGGACTAGGCGTGCTATGAATTAAAACCCGACCAGATTCCGGAGAACTTGTTGTAGTCTGTGAAAGGCGGGTGGCTTTGGGTCTAGTATTCTTGACGAAATGGACGCGTTTGAAAACCAAAGCGAAGCTCCAGCTATCAAAGCTTTGGGTTCTCTCTTCAAGCTCACCGAAGTCTACTTATGGTTTACTTCTCTTCCTCTTTTTTTATCCATCTTTATCTGCCAATAACTAGGGAAAGTTGTTCAACTTTACTAAACTTGAAAGCACCCCCTTCTTCGCTTAAACAGGGACGATGGTGCCATGGAGACTTGGGAATCTTCTTGCTTATCCGACAGCACTGTAATTTCTCTTGTTGTTTCGCTTTTTTTTTTTTTTCTAATTTTTTGTCAGGTTTTTATATGTTTATCATTTATAAATGCAGAAATCGTCTCGACAAAGGAATAAGAGCCGCTCAAGCAATTATCATGCGATCAGCGGCAAGTGCTCTGCAACTTATTTTGAACTTGTCCATAGCTATCTGGGTTTTAATTGTTTGTTAAGTTATTGGTAGTGAAATATAATAGGGACTATTCTGTGCATCTTAAGTGGTTTATTGATTCAATGCCTTCTTTTCTTTCGCTCCTTTTTATTGACAGTTCAGATTTCAGCATTTTAGCAGAGGATATTGAACTGGCTAAAGAAATGGATGCTTTGGGCCTCCCTCTTTCATTTCACACCAACAAGGAGGTAAGTTGAAATCTGCAAGTATTTTTATCTGACTATTTTGTTGCCAGTGTAATTTTTGTTAAGCATTGATAAATATGGTCATGTGTTCTTGAATAATTTGAAATTTTAGGAAATTTTATTTTATGTATTTGTCTGCTGTAAAATCATAGGCACCTCATTTGAATCACTACAATGGTCATTACTTGTTTATAGAGGCATTTTGATGATTTTAACATTCTGGCAGACCGGGAGTAAAATGACTATAAGCAAAAAGAAGGGTTTACGTCCAAAGCATTCTCATGGTCATAGAGACCCTGAAGAAGCGCTGGAATTTTCCAAAGTGAGTGAGATGGAGATTGAATCTCGATCTATTTTTCATGATAACTCAAGCAGTTCTTTTTGTTGCATGTCAATGCTGGGTCAAAGTGAATCATCTTACCATGATGTTGCAGTGGCTGTCAATGAATCCCTATGCCCTGGTCATAAGCAAGAAGATTCTGCAAGCTTAGCTAAGACTGTTTGTGCCTCTGTCATGGAACAAAACTGTGATGGAATTTCTGACCTTGTGACTAATGGTGGCCAGGAATATGACTTTGCACAGCAGAGTGGTATTATGTCCAAGGATGATGGGAAAATTGCATTGAGCTCAACTAGTTTAGGTGCTGAACTTTTACCAGAATGCTGTTTGATGGAACCAGATCTTGACCATTGTAATAATAAGGGTGATAGAAGCTTGATGGAGCTTGAATGCTTTGAATGTTCCTCTATGGCTTACTGCAATGAAAAAGGTGAGAAGGTTCATCCTTATAATGGCACTCAGCAGCTACCTGTTTCTGAGTCATATTCAACAAATTCAGATGTGCTGGATTGTGATGGTAATGACCAGACATCTAGTGATGATTTTGGTGATTGGAGGGTGCACTGGGACTCTTTCTACATGAGGAACTACTTCTATAATATCAAAACTCAAGCTTCTACATGGGACCCACCCCCAGGCATGGAAAATCTAGTATTTGATAACCTAAATGATAAGTCAGATGAAATGAATACTGAGTCCCTTCAGAAATCTGTACATGATGGTGGAGTAGAAGAGCTGCTATCTGGTGAGCTTTCAAATGGGACTGGACTTGCTGCTACATCTAGTTTGACAATACCTTGTGTAAGCAAGTGTTTTGAGCTTGCAGGTGAACATTGTGAAACCAGTGGTAGTTGTGACGGTGAACCTGCATTAGGCTTAATATCAGATGCTCGGGACAATGTTGACAGGTTTTTACCTTCATTTAGTGCTCATAATTTTTGGGTTTAATATGGATCTACAGTAGTTTATCTGAAGCTGTTGTTTCAGTGCTTTATCTTGCAAAACTGAAATTTCACAGCTTCATTAACATTGATAATGGCTGAGTGTTTGGTTCTCATTGTAGATATGAAACATCTACTTTGTTTTATGTGCCTATATAAACGAAAAAACCATATAAATGCAAAGACAATAGGCCATTGCTACCTATATATTCTACAAGGAGTTGGTCTTAATTGTGTCCATTTCAGGGGCCTCTGACATTTTAATTTGCTTGCAGCATGACCAAGATACCAACTGGGACAATTTCTTATGTTGATGATATTCATTTAGAAACTGATGCTTTAGCAAAAGATCAGGCATATACCCTGCTTGTTGCTGCCACTAAAAAAGGGAAAAAGAAAACAAGAAGACGAGCTCAGAGCAAATTGTCTAGGGATCATGAAGGTTTATATTTCAAATTTTCTTTTGCTTCCTATTTTTTGATGAAATCCGTTGTTTTAACCTTTGACATAAAGTTTACTTTTAATTGGATTAATCAAACACTGTTGTTTTTTACAATTGTTAGCCAAAGTAAGTAATGCTGGGCAAATTGTTTTGAATTGTCTTATGCTGGACGTAAGTAATGACACTCTGGTCAATGGGTGATAATCAGACCTCAGTTCTTATTTTAGGGACTTTTTTACCTTCTTGTTTTCATAAGCATTTTGGAAAATAATTTTTCATTTCTCATTGATATTTTTCTGAAGGTCTTTGTTAGCTATTTTGGGTTCATGACCCAGCTATTATTAGACCAGAAATGTGGAAGTAAGAATTTACTAAGCACGCTTGAAGTGAATCCTGAAGCAGTAAAGCACACCAAAGATGGTTTGGAGCCTGTGTCTTAGCATGCTCCATTGGCTAGTGAAAAATTCATGCTGTTGATGTCAACCTAACACCATAAAGGCACAACATAAAAGCCATTTTATCTTTTGTAATGTGTGTTACCCAGTGTCCCCAAGTACTTTTGTTGCTCATTGATAATATTTTGTGTTCTATTTACAGCTGCTGATCTTCTTACCCCTATAATATACTGTAAAATTAGGTTCACTGGATTTTTCTTCCTTTTGTATAGAACTTCAATTCCAAGGAATGTTTGAGGAGTATTCTGGCATTATTGGTAAATATTGGTGTCAGAGATACCTGCTATTCTCCAGATTTGGTGATGGTATAAAAATGGACGAGGAAGGGTGGTTTTCTGTCACTCCAGAGACTATAGCTAGGCATCATGCATCCCGTTGTGGGAGTGGCATTGTAGTTGACTCTTTTACTGGAGTTGGTGGGAATGCCATTCAATTGGCCCAGAGGTGAGTATTCTTGAAACTCCACTTCCCCTTGGTTATATTGTGCCGCATGTTATGTCCTTACTCTATTTTCTTGTACGATGTGATTCTTCAGGAGTGCACATGTCATTGCAATTGATATCGATCCAAAGAAGATAGGATATGCATATCATAATGCCACTGTCTATGCTGTCAATGACCGAATAGATTTCGTAATTGGAGATTTTTTCGCTTTGGCGCCTAAATTGAAGGTACTGGTCTGGCTTATTGCATATTACAGATTTTAGTTTCTTATTTTACATGGCATGTTATTTCATCCTGTAAACCAACCATCCTTCCAAGGTTTGAACTTGAGATTTTTATGTTGATGCAGATGTTATGTTTCTAGTTGTTGTTATTGCTTCTTTATGATAGATGATGAAGTGAGAAGTCTAAGACGGAGGATATTAATCTTTTTCTTATATTTGTTTCTTTCTATTCTAGCTTTATTCTAATAGTTTTTGACATCAATATTTCTGCTGCTGTAGGCTGACACTGTCTTCTTATCTCCTCCTTGGGGTGGTCCTGATTATGCTAAAGTAAAGATATATGACCTCAAGACAATGCTTAGGCCGCATGATGGGTACTCCTTTTTCTACCACTGAAAAGTTTTGCGTTATGCAATTTATTTTTGATTTTGTTTTTGTTACCTTTTAATAGTTGTCTAAATTCATTTTGATTGTACTTCTGCAGATATTTCCTGTTCAACGTTGCAAAGAAAATTGCCTGCAAAATTGTCATGTTTCTCCCTAGAAATTCAGATCTCAACCAGTTGGCAGAATTATCTCTGTCTGCACAGCCTCCTTGGTCATTAGAGGTAATCTTTGAATTTTATTCATGGGTCAACTTTATTACAGATACTTTCTAGGTATCACCATTCATCACAGGAGGATTTTTTGCAGTTAAAACACCAAATTTTCATGAAATATACAGAGATTCTTAATTTGCTCACTAGAAAACTAGATACATTGACTAGAGCTCCCTTGCTCAAACCACAATCCTCAGTTTGTAATAGATATGATCGTAAAGGGATCAAACTTTTGAAACGATCAGTTACTAAGAACAAAATTGGGCCAATGAATTTAGCCAAGTGGGTAGTAAATGAAATAGTTCTTATTGATTTTTCTGTTGATGCTTGCTTTGTGCTTCATATGCAAGTCTATTATTAATAGGAATTTCTACCTATTGTTCTCATTTTCCTCTTCAATTCTGTTTTTTCGGATCTATATATCTTAACCAGTAGTCTAGATGTGTACTCGTTCTCTTTAATTTGTGAACTAGTCTTATTTTCTGATGTTGAATTTTTTATGTGCTTGTTGCTAAAGGCAAATGTCTATGATATTAGGTTGAGAAAAACTTTTTGAATGGCAAGTTGAAGGCAATAACGGCTTACTTCACAGAGACAGCCGATAGAGAACAATAAATCAACATTATTCATGCGGAGTGATGAAGAAGAATGGGTTCAACCTTTTGTGGATATTAAGCCACCGGACGATTTTAAATGTTGATCTGCGGATTCGGATTCCCCACCCATCCCTAATTTTGGTTATACTGTTATGGAAAGTAATGTAAGTGCTTTGATATTCTCTCTTAAAAAGCGAAACAAATCTCACTGATAATGTAGGCCACAGATTTATCACCTCATGACTGCAACGGTGGCTTATTTACGTCAAGGGGGAATAGATCTAGGAAGATGTAGAGAAATTATACCTTGGACAACAAAAGTTAAATGTAACATGTTAAAAGGATGACAAATGCAATATATTCTGAAAGCCATCAATCTTGTGTCAACCATTTTAACATTGTTGGATCTGTCTGATTTATTATCAGGTGAGCACGTTTTCATCACCTCTTCTATATGCTAGTTGTAGCTACCGGCCTTTATTTTTCTTTATGTCTTCTGCTTCTTTTGGGTCACAGTGTTGTACCAACAGCCTAAAACCATGTATGAATGCTTGTACCAACATCCTAAAACCATGTATGAATGCTGCATTAAGGTAGTGGCTTGATGCAAGTCTGAGGTAGTTGCATTTGCTTTGTAATTTTGGAATTGCCTTAACTTCTAGTTAAGCTTGTACAACCACCACCTTTTTCATCTACCGCACAAGCATGACTCATGCACGTGTCATTGTTTTTAATTTCGGAATCTTATTTTTTGAGCAGAAGTTATATATATTAATTATTGAATTAAATGCTCGGATATTATATGTCATTATTATCGCAAACTGTCAATTGTGTCTTAAAATTAATCGTTAACTATAAGAGTTTGGATGAGGTCCCTCTCTTGTTAGTTATGAGACTGAGATATCACAACTAATTATGTAGAGGAAGGTTTTGGCATGGGATTTTAGTTATGTCGTAAGAAAGATTCATCATTTCTACTAAAAAAAAAGGTATTATTTCACTTCATGTTTAAAAAACACATTTGAGAATGTAGTTGCAACAACCAGATATCCTAGTTGTAAACAATTTAAGAATTCGATGTAGACTGCTATAACGTTAATTATTATGAGCATGTGGAAAAAAAAAAAAAGATAACGTAGCATAATTTGTTACGAGCAGAAAGCAATTTTTTTCAATATAAAAATATTACTTGTTAATTATTTTTTACATTAATTAGTATGATATTAAAGTTGTTTTTTAAAAGTTATGGATTTAAGAGAGTTTATATGTGTAATAATTTTTTAATTATATATATAATAAAACAAGAAAAATTTAAGGATAGATTAAAAGTTTTATAAAAAAAAAATGTTACCCGTTGAGTTTGTTGAAAGGTTGGTTTCAATAGAAAATTGATCTCATGGTCATGGATGGCTTGGTTTTTCATTTTTTCAGACTAATCATACTGTGAGCCAATGCCTTGAGATACAACAAAAGAAAACCACAAAACAAAAAATCCAATCAAATCAGTACGTGTGAAGTGAATCCGAAAGAAAATTGGGTAAAGTGACACTTGAACCTCTCATCGTTTCTGATCCAGGAAAGGGTTGGGTCCAGTCCTGGATGAACCTAACCTGACTGAACAATAATAATAGCGACAACTCTGAATTTGCTACAGCTCACGTGAGCAGTGAAAACCAAACCTACTTAAAAATATTTAAAGTTCTCAACTTACCAGGGAACCGGACAAACATGATTGCTCTCATCAAGTCATTTTATCAAATCTTGGTCATCAGATTTCATTAAAAGCCTATACTGTAGATTGTTTTTGTTTCTTCTCTCATCAGAACTTTCCACCAAGTACTAATTCTTCACTATTTTTCTATAGCAAAATTGCCCGGTTTGACCCGGCCATGGCTGCTGGCTGCTGGCTCCTGGTTCATTTTTTTTTCCTGCTACGATACGTCAATTTACGTAATAACTATAGTGGTGAGTAGTGCTTTTCTACACAAAATTCTTAGACAAGCAAGAGCCATGATCGTCAACGGTTAGTAAAAGTTCCATGCGAATAAAACTCCGTAGCTGCCAAGGGGAGAAAGTAAGTAGGAGCTGCTTACTTCTAGTTTTATCCGACGAGGATCACATGCAAAGATGAAGAAGGAAGCTTCCTTGTGAAAAAGGCAGCCTGAGAGGATAAACTCTTGAAAAAAGAAAGGAGTAATAATAATAAAAAAAAGATAATAGCTTAGAAAAAAAAATTTAAAATACGATCACAAAAGCATTTTTAATTGTATTATATTTATCGTAATTATTAATATAACGATAATGATAATAGTGTTCATTGTGATTATAAATTTTTTAATATTTTTATAATAAAATAAAAAAATTTAATATAATAATATTTATTTATGACATTTAAAATTATTAATAATATTTTAATTTTATATTTATAAATTAAAAAATACTTTTTACATATTTTAATTATAATTCAGAATTAATATATTATAAAATTTATAACTATATTAAAAAACATAAATAATAGTTTTAATATATTGTTGTAATTATAATTTTTTATTATATCATTATTTATGAATTTGATGTCATTATTTACATGAATGACGATTTATATTTTTATTACAATAATCATGACGAAAAATGATGATATTATTAAATAACGACCGATTGCAAACAGTATTTAAATTCATGACTTGAATTACTGATAGTGTGGCAATTTTGTCGGGACAAAAGGATTTGATTGCCACCCATATCTCCTTTCGACTCTTTGCTGTTGCATCGGGATTCAAAGAAAAAACACATTACAACTACAATTTTTCCCGTTGACTACTTTCTTGTTATTCTGTTTCACGTCCAAACAAAACATTCTATTCTTTTGATATTAATCAGACGGTCGACTAGATTCTAATTCATTTCTTTTGTCATGGAAAAATATATATTAATTAAAAAGTCAATGTTCGGATATTCAACTATTATTATTATTAAAAAATTTTCAAAATTTAATTCAATTAATATTTACCATCACTGTTTAATATAAAAATCCTAATAATACTAATAATGACATCATTTTTTTCAAACCATATTCTCTTTGAAAATTGATGTGACAACCCCGAAGTTATAGCCCAAAGTCCTGATTACCCTCATAATTAATCCTAAATTATCACAAATGCAAGGGTTTTACAGTCAATTTGAAGAAGGTCAAAATCCCAGGTCCAAAGGCAATGATAACCAGCAACATTAAAAGCATAAAACCCACTGGCAAAAAGGGTTTTAAAAAGGCCTTCATCTTTAACTACATGCCATGTAACAAATACAGAAAAAAAAAAAAAAATGGCCGACATTTGAAGATGAAGAACTGAAGAAGTGAAGCTTTGAAGAAAAATGGCGGAGTTAGGGTTTCAATCAGGTTCTAGGGCTCGAGTTGCGAGCCCTGACTCTGTTATATTTACTTTGGAAAAGAATTTCAGCCTCTTCTCTTCCGCGTCCGCTAGTGTCGATCGATGCTCTTTTGCTTCCGATGCTCACGACCATGATTCTCTCGCTTCCGAACTCTCTTTTGTAACTTCTCCAATCTTTCAACTTTTTTTGTTTATCTCAATTTTCAATTTAATGCATAAGCTGAGGGAGCTGTAACAGTGTACATGATCGATCGTTGTTGATCAATTTGCATGCTTTTTCCCCCCTTATCCGATTTTTTTTTTCAAAAAAAAATTTAAAAAAAGGAAAACAATGTTTGAAATGTGAATTGTTTTGCAGCATTTGGCAGGACATGGAGGAGGAGATCAGAATGGGAGTTCGAGTGGACCAGGTCCTGATCCAAACAAAGCTATAACAGTCCATAAGCACAGTCGTCTCTCCAGAAAAGGTGAAAAAGTGAAAGGTACTCGCAATATGTTCCTTTCATTATTAGCTTCTTTCGAGAAAGTTAAAATTGAAACTGCACAAAAAGAGAAAAAAAGCAACGAATAAGCCCAAAAAAATTCAAATTCACTCACTCACTCATTGTCATTGCTCCCCCCCCCCCCCCCCCCCTCTTTTGCCCTTTTACAATAATATGCAGTTCAAAAAGAAGAAAATGATGCAGCTCTTATAGAGGACGAAAATCAACTTATAGATTCAGCTAGAAACTCATTCTCTCTTGCTCTTAAAGGTACCCTTTAGTTTCTTTTTGAAATGTTTTTTTAGCATAATATTTTGTAAAAAAATTAATAATTGCAAATTGGTTTTTTTTTTTTTTTATATAGAGTGTCAGGATAGGAGGGCTAGATCTGAAGCTTTGTTGAAGAATCCTCATAGAAGAAGACCAACTTCATTAGATCTAAATAATGCCACTGCTTCGTCTCCTCGGTTGGGGAATATGAAGAAAAGCTCTGTTGCGACACTGAAATCGGGTGCATTTCCTAGTCCCGGGACTCCCAATTATCATCATCATCACTCGAGTGTTGGGATGCAGAAGGGTTGGAGTTCTGAACGTGTGCCGTTGCATAATAATGGTGGAAAGATGCAGGGCAATGCTGCTGGGGTGTTGCCTTTTAACAATGGAAGGGCTTTGCCTTCAAAGTGGGATGATGCTGAGAGGTGGATTTTTAGTCCTGTTTCTGGGGATGGTGGTGTGAGGCAATCCATTGTGCCTCCACAAAGAAGACCCAAATCAAAGAGTGGTCCACTGGGTCCTCCTGGGATTACTTACGATTCATTGTACTCGCCTGCGATGCACATGTTTGATGGGGGGCATGCAGGGAATTTCATGGCTGGTTCTCCTTTCGCAGCTGGTGTAATTGCAGCTGATGGTTCGGCAATTCATTCTCGTAGCCATGGTGGAGGATTTGCTGTTCGGACTGAGCCTTGCATGGCCCGCTCTGTTAGCGTGCATGGATGTTCTGATGTAGTGAATCCACCATCGTTGCCTTCTCAAGGTACATGTCCATCTCTGTTGTACAAAATTTCTGGGTTAGATGATAATATGAGCTTTGGCTTACATTAATCATCTTCACATGAAGAGTGCCTTTTGAAAATTATGACATGTATTATGAAACTTTTTTCTCCATGTGTATTCTCTTGGCATCCAAATTAATTTAATCTTAAATTAAAACTTTATGTTTGATGCATGGTAGATAAATAGAAATTCATGATTTGGTCAAAATTTTTAGAACCATTTCCATTAATGTTATATTTATTATGATTACTATGTAATTATCCAAAAAAAGTTACTAATTAAGTGTTATAATAATTATAAAACAGCAAAGAACTTACCTCTTGATATAGGAACCACTTAAACATTAAAGAATCTGCATGTAGGCACGTGGACATGAGCAAAGTAGGAATTTTATTTCTCTACATTTGCCAAATTCATGAACTTGATGTTTCTTTTCCTTAATAAAATCCGTGAAATATCAATATAGATCATTTGCCAAATGTAAACTTCATGTTCTATTGAGAGATAGGTTGTTATTATGGTAATTGCTAAGCCTATTGTACTTCTATAGGTCCCCATCTTTCTAATTGGTTTTTCATCAAAGACACAGATGAAAATCTTGATGCAGTCAAGGATGCAGCCACTGATATTTCTCGTACTGTTTCAAGAAGAGACATGGCAACCCAAATGAGCCCACAGGTTAGCAGCCACTCATCTCCCAAAGAAAGGGCTTCTTTCTCTCCCTCCAGCCCTTCTGCTCTACCTATCATGGAACTACAGAACATCCATACTTCTAAATCAGAAGTGAGAGACGTGCAGGTAGATGAAAGAGTCACCATGACTAGGTGGTCAAAGAAGCATAGAGCTCGAAACACTGGGAAGAGCTCAGAAATTGTTGATGATTGGAGAAAGAGAGCCGTTGACACTTGTATATCAACCTGGGATGTGACAGAGACAACAAAGAGCATTTCCAAGTATGTCTACTTTACTACTACATCACCTCGTGTCTGTTTTCTAAAAATACCTTAAGGCAATGAGTAAGCATCTTGTCTATCTAGAACTCGAAGATCCCTTATATAACAAACTAAAAGTTGTGATAGAGACAGCAAAGAGCATTTCCAAGTATATCTACTTTACTACTACATCACCTTCATTTCTTTCTGTCTTCGGTGTCTGCTTTCAAAAATGCCTTAAGGCAATAAGTATCTTATCTATCAAGCAATCAACGATCCCTTATATAACAAGCTAAAAGTTTCTGATCAAACATTTTTGTTCCCTGTTTGAAAACCAATCACATTCTTTCTAGAAGACCAAAAGATTGTAATATAATTAGCAAAAATTATGAGCCTAATGTTAGTTTTTCAGATGCTAGATTGTGTGGGATTTGCCTAAGAAACTGCATCCAACTCAAGCAAATCCTAGCCTAGTTAGGTGAAAGGTTTTTCTGAAATTTCTCGTTTATCTTCATGTATAAAAAACTGATCAATATCAGAGAACATTGGAAGAAATTGAAATCTTTACAGAACAGATTTGATTGATATTTATATTCCAACTTCTTTCTCTTTTGCAGGATTAAAAGAGAAGAGGCCAAAATCACTGCATGGGAGAATCTGCAGAAGGCAAAAGCTGAGGCAGCCATAAGGAAACTAGAGGTTTTTTTTTTCTTAAATACTCCTGCATTCACATTTGAAATAATTTTAAAGATATAGTTGAGTGAATGATCAACCTTTGATACAGTAAAAGTAAAATCTCTCCAGTATGATTTTAGTATTTCTTCCCATTCCTTTGTTGCCAAGCTTGCTCATGTAGATGTTGAAGCTATCATGTAACATCTTGATGAATTGGAATTGAGCAGAGTGTTACTTGCTCTTTCTCTGGGCAAAGTTATTTTTCTATTTATTCTTAAATAGAATATAGTTTGTTAAGATAAAACAACTAAAAAAAGACTCTTGAGTGCCAACTTAATAATCCCTGGTAAAATGCAATAGACACAAAAACTATTATCTTCATCATTACTGACACAACAATATATTTCAGATGAAGTTGGAAAAGAAGAGATCCTCATCAATGGACAAGATAATGAATAAGCTGAGATCAGCTCAGAAGAGAGCCCAGGAAATGAGAAATTCAATGTTAGCCAATCAGGCCCATCAAGTTACAAGGACCTCACATAAGGCTATATCACTCCGTAGAACCTGCCAAATGGGTTCGTTGAGTGGTTGCTTCACCTGCCATGCTTTCTAATGCCTCGCTTAATCTTTACTGGTTCAATCAGGCCTGAAATGCCGGGTACCTTATGCTTGCAATAGTTGTTTCTTTTCAAATCTTTTGCTTTACTTTTCTAAACTGGTTAAGGGAATTTTCTTTTTACCTTTGTTTTCGTGTGTGTATGTCTGGAGTATAATCATTCTTCCATTCTTAGTTTAGAGATTGATAACGTATCATAGCATTACTGAAAGAATTGCAATGTGCCTTAAGATTTAACCATATATACATATTGGATTAATGAGTTCATTGATAAGGAGAGTGATCCAAATCCAATATCATTCGAATAAAGTGGTGAGGCTCCCCTTAATAGGCTAATAAGCACCACTGCAGATGCAGGTCAATGCACTAAGTAAACATATTAGCTATTTTTGTTATTTCACTTCAACATCCCATGTAAATCGAGTCAAGTTTTGATTATATGGCATTTTTAAGGTGCATATTGTTTTTGTTGAATAACAAGGCAATTAGGCACATGATTATTTACTCGTTTTACATTTAATTTAGTGCACGTGGAAAATGGAAATATCTCCACCTAACACTCAAGCTTTATTTCCTTGCTGGTAATATAGTTTCATGCTTATATTGTTCCGTCCTATCTCTTACCAGTTTCAAGAACAAAGACCACTGGAGATAATGAATATTGTACAGGAAGCAACTATTACACCGACCCGAAATTGTTGTCACTGCAGTTTTGCTTCAATCAAGGTTCCAGATTAGTGCAAGACCCCAAATTGCCATGTCCTGGGACTTGAAGATTTCCTGAATGTTTGACAAATAAAATCGTGTACGTATGTATGCATGTAAATTCACATTTCTAGTTTTTTTTTTTTTCTTACTATGACTGTTTGCCATGGAAATGGAAATATCATTCATCGCTTTTACCTTATTTCTTACAAGTAATAGAATTGATGAGGTCAAATAGATTATAAAATCTGTTTTCACCCGTTTTTTCTGATTTCTGCATGCATGTTCATGGAATACATCCTTCTAGTGTTTCAAATCTGTCAATTACGGAGCTTTATGGGAACCATCTTTGTCAACCTCTTTTAAGTTGGCGCTCGTGTATGGGGTCTTGAGGCTGAAGATCCAAGGGCAAGTATCCCAGTCGGGTAACATTGACATAATCTTGAGGGGAATGAGCTGATAACCCTGGTACTACTAATCCAATTACCCTCAACATTCTCAAACACCAGCCTTCCTTGTAGTCTGGACCCATAATATAAGGCATGATGAAACCCCTAATAAGCTCCCAAATTGCATTCATGATCTTTGGTAACACCCATAGTAAAGAGAAGTAATTCTTGTTCGGTTCCTGCGGCAAAACCTGCATTGCATAATTAAATAAAAATTTTTAGAGGTTATAAGTAAAATAATTTTTCACGAATTCATTAGGAAACCCTTGCCACTATAAAAATAATAATAAAATTCTCTGATAAAAGGCACTTACTTTTCCTACATAGAAGCTATTGAAGTAGAGGCAGGGTCCAAAATGCTTGAACAATAGGGTTTTGTCATCATAAGGAACCCTAGGCACCATGTCATTGCTGTAAACGTACCTGAAATATTTTACATCAAATTTTCTCAATTTCAGGAACTCCCCAAACTTCTCGTCCCCTACCCTGGGCTGCCCAAATGTGTAAACCCCATCCAATCTCTCCAACAACCATTCCTCCTCGTGTAACATTAGCACAGCCGCAAACAAAATTGCCAATGCCCCACCTAAGCTATGCCCTGTCAATATAAACTTGGCTTCCTGATTCTCTTTTAAAACCTCCCTCAGCTTTTCTCTCAGGGTGTAGTAAGCAAATTCGCGTTGGTCACTGACTTGTTCGATTTCCTTGGGCCAGCCATGGTTCTTTTGCAAGCCTAGAGCTTTCATAAAACCACTGTGGGTCTTCGCATTACCCATGTCCTTAAGCTCATACCAGGAAAGATCGCTGTCGGTCATCCAGTCATTTGCATCAAAAGGGCTTGTGCCTCTGAATGCAACCACAATCAAGTTGGGGTTAGCCCGTGTGTCTTGAAGCATGAAGACTTGGGTTGACAAAGGTTCTTGGTAATCTGTGAAGCAAATGATCAAACCAGGATTTAAATAAAGAAATAGTACAAAAATTTACCAAAACCTCATAGTTTTATTCGAGTAATTTCATGGATTAAGTGAAGTTTTTTTTTATACAATGTGATCTAAGATATTTTTAAGTTTTGTTTAATTTTAAAGATATAATTCATTCAAAATTTTATTCTTAAAATATTTTTCAAAAAAATTGGACAATTGTTGATAAAAAAAATTCATCTTTTTACCAATTAAATTTCTCTTTTGTGGGTATGTGATGATAAGGATGAAGTATGACAATGAGACAAAGAAATGTGCAAATAATGTTAGTAATCAGTAGGTTGGTTTGATGTTTTCTTAAATGTAAATTACAAGTTGGCTGTTGATTAGTCCCTGGTGAAGGACAAAAAAAGTCTTAAAGTTGATAGAAATGTGAATAATAAATGGAATCTTAAATCAGACACACCACGTGATCGATTCATTTGCTTTTATTAAATCCTTAGACTATTATCTAGGATTTTACAATTTGCAATTTCCTATAATGTTGACTTCTGTTCATAATTAATAATCATATGTAAATAATATCTATAAGATAATTTTGCCACCGCCCAATCGGAAAACAATAAGCTCATTTAATTCTAAAAAAAAAATTAACAGAAACTTTTATCTCACGTACCGTTCCAGAAATTATAAAACTTCAAGAATTTCATCTGCTCCAAAAAAGAAAAACAAGAACAATCATCGTCACTGTCATTTTTTTTAATTTAAGAAACTAAAAGGCCTAATAGGATTGCATTTTTTTAGTATCTTGTTTAAGTAATGGTTAATTCATTTTATATTCAAACTATGAAGTTTCAGTAATATCTTAAACATTTGAGGATTGCCTTAAATGGAAAAAAACATACCTTCCAATGTTCTATGATTTTGGCTTTAATGAAGGCTTCATTCTCGTAGGATATTTTCGCAGCCATCACAGACAGATGTGCTTTGTATTTGTTGTCACCAGGTTTAATTTTGCTGTCTAATTCAAAGCGAGTGTCAATATTTGCTAACACCGATGTGAACGTCGCCGATGATTTATCAGGCCACCCTAATTTCCCTGCAAGATCAAACCCATCTCTGAATCGTTACTTTGAACCTTTTTTAGCAACAAAACAAGTGGTCTTCGAGCAAAAACATGGGTTTTTATGCAATCCAAGATGAGCTATATAGCATGAGACCTTTGTGAAACTACATGGAAAGAAGAGGACACCTGTTGCAAGATTTAGTAGGAGATTGAAAGGGCCACCGTTGCTTGATAAAAGATTTAGCGACATCTCGAGCGCATTCCCCATCAGGGCCATCGGTTTTGTCCCCCAAAGGAGGATTTTCTGAACAAGAACGGAGATGAAGATAAGCCATCTACGACCAAAATTTTCACGTTGTTCACCTGGACAGTGAATGAATCTTCTTTGTGACAATTCAGAGGAAAAAAGTAGGCCAAAAAGATCAAAGAAGCTTGCTTCTTCAGGGTTGAGTAGACAATAATCGTTGCAAAAGTGATTCTCATACGTAGTCATGGCTTGGAAGCAAATGAAGAAGAGACTGAGTTGCTGTGTCAACGTTTCAAAACTGAATATCAATTTTACAGGTTGAAAAGTAATTAAATAAAATAGTGCGAGCATACTCATTGCAATTAATTATTACCATTAATATATTTTTATTAAACAAGATTATTTCAGTGATGAAAATGAGATTAGAGTATGAGGTTGAAAATGGTCAAAAATGTCTCCTAGAATTTCCGCATCAAAATAATGCTATAAAGAAAACCATTCGCTATGACGTGACTTCCACCACTGTCACTTCACATCATTACTAACAGCGGAGAAAGATTTTTTTAAAAATATTTATTTATAATATATAAAAATTAATTAACAAATGTATCAATTTTATAAAAAAAAATTCTTTAAAAGTGTATGCTTTTCCATAAAAAAGGTAGAACCCTTGATCATCACTATCCCATTTATGTATTACCCTACATATTGTGATAACAACAGACTACGGTACCTCCATTTGCAGAGATTTCTGGTCTTCATTAAATTCTGGATTAGAGGCGAATTTTCGCAAGCAAATTCAAAGACATTGTTAAAAAAAATTGCTGAATTACCATCGTTTCTGGGTTGGAGTTATCCCACTTTTCCACCATGAAAACATAATTTGCTCATAAGAGATTGAAGATTTGTCATAAATGAAATATACTCAATTATGAGCTGTGTAGAAATTAAATCTGACAATTCACGCACTAGAGAAATTGAGGATATGAATGGGATTGTGATAAGTGGTCCAAAACCCTAAAAAAGGAGAATAGATACTATATATGTTCATGTGATGTAAATTTTAATAGCAAATATTTTAAAATTTTCTTCTTATTTGGATTACTTGAATCATTATGTTCCAAACCTTTATAATTTCGGTTAAGATTTTATATTTTCATTTCCCTAAAGTTTCATTTGAGTCAATACTCATTAGTGAATTTAGTTTGGTGGGTTGTCAACAATTGTACCTCATGCCTGTCACTTTATACATTAGGGGGTTTAACTATCAGTAAATTAATTCTCCTTCTGACCAAGTCAAACGAGGACTTAGTCAAGGTAAATGCTAACGATGGGCGGTTGGGCTCCATTGGTTCAATTCCCTAGGATCACTTGATGAAATCCTCCTCCTCCATTATTATCCAACAGTCAATCAAGAAACTTTTGCTTTCACACTTCCAGAAAGAGCATTGGGACAGATTTTCCATGATTCTGCTGGAATACATCCCACCCCTCTAATAGGACAAATTGAAAAAAAAGAATATTATTCCGAGAATTGGATTGTTTTCTTGTTCGTAGGAGGGGACCCTTCTCCTCATTAAAATCTAATCCAACCAACCAATAAACATATATTTATTGTTTTGTTATTGTAACTCAAGTCCTTTACTCTTTTTGGTTGGTGCATATTTCATTTTATCATCACAAAAATCATTTACATCTCCTCCTAATATATCACAGTGCTCTTTTTTTTTTCTGTCGTTTGCTCTCTTAAGTTATAGATAGCTACGTTCACGTTTTCCTGTCAGGTTGTAGGCAGTAAAGACAGACGACGGAACTGGTAATTTTGCATCAAGGTTAGGAGAAATATTTGTAACTGAGATTTGGTCAGAACGTACAGGAGCCCATGATAAAAATATCTGCACCTTTCTCGGTTGGTGGAACATATGTAGTGGCCAATTACAAATTGTCTGACGTTTTGAGACTTGACAGGGATCAAAATATATTGTTGAGAAGCATGTTAGGAAGCATGCACGGTCGATCTCACTCCTTGCTCAACTCTAGCTATTTTTTCTCAAGTCAGTCAAATGATCAAACTAAGATTTAATGGTTTTGTACCTAAAAAAGCGTTCTAGCGCCATGAAAATCTCCTCTCGTCGAAATATTTTTTAATTTTTTAAATTTTAATTTTTTAAATTTTTTATTTTTCATCAATTATTAATATCTCCTCTACATAAATATTTAGAATAGCATGTCATGATTTTATTATTTCATCACAAACATGTTTTAACTCAATATATGATCATTTAATTCGAGTATTTATACTTAATCCAAATGAACTTTTAAAAATTGTAATGTAAACTATGATAAAGGATTATGAAAACAATTGGTAAAATACATTCAAAACATATCTTTAAAAGGTTCAAAACTAGAGGATCATTTTTCATCATTTGATGCAACTTGACGTTTTACCCCATTTCACATCATTTCATTACTTTTCTTTCTTATTTCTCATAAAAGTATTCTTATTATTTTGTCCCAACTAATTTATGACATTTTTTTTGTTTTTTTTTTAATGATTCTTTTTTCTCCTTTTTTTTCAAGCATTTTTTCTCAAAATTTACCCCCAGCATGGAGAGTGATATTTGGTTAGGATTCTTTAAAAAATAATTATAATAGGCTCAAAAGGGGTAGTAATGGATGATTTTTCGAATGGTAAAAAAAAGAATGTCATTTTTCATCTCAAATGTGAATGCTTTCCTTGAAAATCATCTATTGAATAAAAACAAGCTCATGAATCTTTATAAAAAGATTACATATTTTTAAGATATATCTATTTCATATCTGCCAAAAACTTATTTCTTTTACTCAAAAAGTCTTCACAGATTGAACTTTATCAATGTGAATGAGTTTTCAAAATTAAATCTCAAAATTATTGTTATAATTATCTAAATATTCACCATCTGTAATTTAAGAATGGAATGAAAAGATATAACAAACAACAAAGCATAGAATAATGGTTAGGATGAAAGATAAAATGTAATAAAATGCATCAACTTGCTTTTTATTGAAATGATAACAAATAAAATCCTATTGCATAAAAGAAATCCTAACATTACTTTAAAAACAAATCTCAAAATGACAAGCCACTTTAATTAGCCTTAACATTCTTCTCAAAATTATGTCCCTATATGATCAGGAGAAGGGCTTTTATTGGCATTTGACCCCCTGATTCATTGAAGTTCACCAAGTCTTTTCAGATTAACTCACCTTAGGGCATTGACATTGTGATTGAGTAATGGATTGACACTAACATTTGATGTTGTTATCTTTCTCATGTTAAAGTTTATCATTTTATCCTTGATTAATCGTTACACCTTATGCTTTAAAGCAGTGTAATTTTTTATGGATTGACTAGCGATTATATAGTGGTAGTCACAATAAGCTGTAAAAACATACCACTTGGGATAGAGTGGCTTGAGTAGCTCCAATCAGCTGGAGGTAATCAAGTAATTATTATAGAACTCTTAGTATAATTTTATATAAGTCATGGGGATTAGATCAAATATGAGTTTTTCTTGAGTAGTTCATTGATCGCATGAACCACTTGCTAGGCTAACAAGATGAATGGTAGTTTGGGGTTCGAGAATGGGTTGATATGGTAAGTAAGATGGCTATAGAGTAGGCTGATATGGATAGGGTGAAGCATATTCATTACAGAATAATATAGAGAGTAAGTTTATGATAGATAAAGTTGATAACCCCTTGAACTGTTATCTGTCAAAACTCATAGCTTGAGCTTTAATCTCTTTCCTTTTTAGGGCTTTCTTAGTGAAAACTTCTCATTCTTCTAACTTGCCATTCTTAATGGCATTCTTAATAATTTCACTTGAGATCACTATATCGATAAAATTTTTTGTTGCATTCTCTATCCCTTTTTCATAATAAAGAGATTTTAAAGTACTGACAAACACAATATTATGGTCTATTTCTCAGTTAGAGAAGGTTGTACTTGAGTAGCTATGTTCTTTCACCTCTTAGTATACTCCTTGAATGATTCATTTGCTTTGTTTTCCATATTTTACAAAGATAAATGATCAAAAGCTAAATCTATGATATGTTAGTATTAACTAATGAAGTCACGAGCTATATCACTCTAAGACTGAATATGGATCTTGTCCAATTGAACATACCACCTAGTAGTAAAGCTAGTAAAGTTGTTTTGAAACACATACATTAATAACTTTTCATTATTAGCATGAACAGTTATTTTTTCGACAGTACATAGTAATATAAGTTTTTGGACATTTTGTACCATAATATTTTTCAAACTCTAGTACTTTGAACTTTAGAGGAATAATAATATCTGAGACTAAACAGAGCTTAACAGCATATACAAAACTATAAAAATAAATTTTTTCACTGTTTTCAACTTTTATTCTAGTGTTTTCATCTTCTTATCAGCTATTGAGTTCTTCAACAACTCGTCTCTTTTTTATTTTAATTTTTTTTTCTCTTTTGGATCGTCCAAATCAGAGACCTGAATTGGTTTCACTATTTTTTCAGTGAAGACGGGATTCATATAGCTCTGGTATTATGATGGATTTAAAAGTGATGGCATTTAAGGGTATGTATACCTTATAGCATATATGAATTGTTACAGTGGTGCATCTTAAGTGGACTAAGCTTGCTGCAACCAAAAATAAGAAGATTCAAAAGATCAGTCACCTTTTGTGATGGATGATCCTATTGGCTAGTATTTTTTTCTATCTCTTTCCCCTTATTTAACTTGTTCAAAGCATCAAAAATCTTACTCAACTATCCTTCAAGCTTCTTTTGAGCTTTATTTATCCTCTCAAGATGATTGAAATTTTTTTATTCTATATGTCTGGGTCGCGCTCTTGTATTGTATTGATGAGTTGATTGTATAAAGTTTTTACTTGATTGAGCTATCCTTGAATCTTGAGTACCATAATTACATTATAAAAAATGTTATGCTTTATGTTTGGTATGATAATGCATGAATGGAATGTACTAATATTTTCCATATAACTATCATTGATAAAAGAAATCTCAATTTGAAACTTTATTTAATAAAATTTTAAAACTACATCTTAACAAAGACAAAGTAATATTTTAAAGTCCTAAACATCATCATTACTTTAACACTTCTTTATAAATTTCCTAGGTTGCTGGTAATGATCTTATACCTCATCTATGAAGTCAAGCAATTGTCGCTTATGAGCTCTTACTAGTTACACCATGCCTTTAAATCTTTCACTTTTTCTTTCATTTTTGATGCCTTATCTACAACAATGCATAGCTGATCGAACAAATACCTTAGATGTTTTTATTTTTCTGTGCACATGTCCTTTCATAGCTCACTCTG